TATATAATAATCAAAATAATACGACACAATCCAATATTTGAAATAATTAATATTTTCTTTATTTTAGTGAAATAATAAAATTTTAATATTTATCATAAAAGTAATATTAAATTCAATTAATATAAACTTTTTCACTTAATATCAATTACATTCCCTGTTTAGATCTTTTTTGTGGGAAGGAACCGAGAGAAAAATAAAATAGCATAGGTGGCTTGGGAGTAGGTTTGTAGAGACAAGAAATTTAGGGGTTTGGGGGTTCGGGATGTGGGTGCTTTCAACTTAGCTCTATTAGGTAAATGGAGATGGCGTTTTCTTGTTGAAAAGGAAGGATTGTGGCATACAGTGTTAACTTCCATTTATGGAGAGAGGACTGTTATTAGGTTGGGCGGTGAGAAGTCAGGGGATCTAGGTGGTGGTATGATATCTGGGGTATTGAGAATGGCATACATGTTACGTCTGATTGGTTTTCTAAGGGTTGCGTTAAAGAGGTGGGTAATGGGGAAAACACTATGTGCTGGGATGATGTTTGGTATGGTAATGCTGCTTTGAGCACTCGGTATGCGCGACTCTATTCAATTTCCAATAATAAGTTGACAACTTTAGCAGACATGTGTCTAAGGCGTGAAGGGAGTGTGGTCTGAAATTGGTGCTGGAGAAGGGATCTCTTTTAGTGGGAGGAAGAACAATTGCAACTCTTTATTTGGAATTACAAAGTGTAAAGCTATTTGAAGAAAAATCTGATGGTTGGAGGTGGAAACATGATTCGGGAGGATCTTATTCTGTCAAATCTGCCTATCAAGTTATAAAAAACCAGTCTATATATGCTGATTTTCCTATGTATAGATATTTGTGGTCCAAGTTGATACCCTCCAAGGTTTCTAGTTTTGGTTGGAGGGCTATTTTAGACAGAATTCCAACAAAACAGAACTTAATTAAATGAAAGGTTCTACCTTCTAATGTAGCATCTTGTGTTTGGTGTGGTCTATGTGAGGAAACCTCATCCCATCTTTTTTTTGAATGTTTCTATGCTTTTAAAATATGGATGTCTTGTCTTCAATGGTTTGGATTCTATTCTGTTCAGAATAGTACAGGTTTGGCAAATTCGAGCAATTTGTGGGAGTCCCAAATTGTAATGTTGTTAACCGGGTGCGATGGTCTTCTATTTGGTTGGTAATATTATGGTCAATTTGACTTGCAAGGAATGAGGCAATTTTCTCTCAAAAAATTATGGATTCTGAGGATGTGGTGGATTTAATTAAGCTGAGATTTTGAAATTGGTTAAGCGCTAAAGATTTAGCTTTTCAATACCCTTTTATTCTTTGGTCTAATAACCCATTTTCTTGCTTAAATTTCTCCTGATATGGTTCTTCCTGTCTTACTTTCTAAGTGTTGACTGCTGTTTCTTATAATTGCCGTTTGAAGATCAATCTGTTGATGGTATTTTATTTCTTGTCGATGTTGTCATAATGAATCGTTTGAGATGCTACTGTCACTGAGTTCACTACTTGGTTTTGAGAGTTACTAATGTCTAGCAGCAACAGTTGTCCAAACACTTGATTGTATTCATTGGGTATTTGGTATTTTTGCTAGTTTCATATATCTATGTCTATGATTTTGAAGTTAATTTTTTTTGTATTATGGGTTAGAGTACCCCTTGTACTCTTTTTTAATATATTTTTTCTTTACCTAAAAAAAATAATCAAAATAATATGACACACAATCCAATATTTGAAATAATTAATGTTTTTCTTTATTTTAGTGAAATAATAAAATTTTAATATTTATTATAAAAGTAATATTGAATTCAATTAATATAAACTTTTTCACTTAATATCAAAAGATATATCATTAATTTTATTTATATGGGTTAATTGTACTTTTTTTTTGGTTGGTTCTTTTAATACTTAAAATCTTAATTATTGGCACAACAAAATAAATAAAATGAAAAAACATAGCCTCACACGTTACATTAAGTCCAGATGGGATTAGTCTCTTGGCTGGCTATTATACGACAGTTAAGTTCTGATGACTGGTGACCAATCACAGCCAGCTTTTAATGAAAGCAACAAATGACCAATGAGACACCCAAATTTTGGCTGAAAGTAACATGAACACAAAATACAAAAATAACTTAGATATTCATCTCATTTCCCAAAATGTATATCCACAAACTTCAACATTCCTATTCAAATTATATATTGCTTTAATTAATTTATTGTTTTCTGAACAATTCGTGTTTGATTTTTTCTTTTATTTATAATTTTTTAAACGAGTCTTTAGCAATAAAATATTTTCCATCAAATGTCTTGGTCACTTTGAATATTATAGAATTTTCATTTAAGTTTCTATTTTTCCATTCATTTCCTTAAAAAGTTGTTTAGAAAAAAACTAAATAGAAGAAACAGAGATTGGCAATTATTGATAATATTTCTTTTGAAAATCTTATTTTTAGAAGGTAAAAATCATTAAACAAATCATAAAATTACAAATATTTAAGATATTGAAATCTTAATTAAGTTTAATTTATTTCATCCAAAATATAATCCTCGACCGTACGTCAGGTTTGAAACTTCAATCCACGTGTACAACTTATCTTACAACTATTTATTTATGCCATAATATGAGAAACAAACAAATGCAGCTATTTCATTTTAATTATGCATCACTGATCGTATTCAAATATATATAAAGACAACACAAATCAATCGATATCATTGAATCCTTACCAAAAATAAAATCGATATCATTGAATTCTATTTAAAAGTAAAGCTCCCAAAGTGAATAAAAAATTAATTACTTCGCTTACTTATTTTTAAGATTGGTTTCCTTCTCTTTCATTTTTACTTAATTAAGAATAAAAGAATTTTTGTCCACAGTTTTCAAAACTATGTATTACATGCAATTATTTGAGTTTGTGCATTTCGGAATTAGAATATTAAACAATACACTCTTACACACTCTTTTCAATACATTTAAGAATAATTATTAAAAATTATAATTTTTTGTGACTATTTATTTAATAAATATCTCTTATTTTTGTAATTCTCAATAGATTTTAACCAACAATAAAAATATGTTTTAGAAAATATATTGTACTTCTCATATAAAATTAGTACTTGAATCTAATTTCGTTACTCCTTAAGTTTTAAGACCCTAAATACTTATTTTTTTCAATAATATTATTAGTCTTATAAAAAGACTTGAACCTAATTTTAGAACAAGTCTTAATTCCTTGACACCTAAAATATACAAACACTTAATTAACACCCTAAATTTCTCTTTTGCTTTTCTCTTTCAATTACATTCATCATCAATTTTATTTCTCCTCTTTTCCTATCCCTAATTCTACAAGTGTAGACACTAGAATATCCAACAATCTTTTTACTTTTCAGAGCCATCAATACATCAATAGGTAATATATAATTATTCCATCTTTGTACAAATTAGCTTTTCTTGCTTTGCACAGGGACAAGGACAACATATATATTCCGTGGTTAAAATGCTTGTATGAAAAAAAGTTGCAGCCAATAAAAAAACATGAGAGTTTTAGGATATGT